ATTATACTTGCAATTTATAATATGTTTATTCTCTTTTATATTTTGCTCTTTTCGGAAACATAATTTTTGCTCCTTATTTTATTTTAATTTATGTATCGTATTTATGATTTATTTATTAATTTGTAAAATTTTTTTTTCAGCATAAATTAAATTTTGGTAATTCTTTTAGTAATTAATTCGAATATATTTAGATTTTTTTGCATAATAATTTCTTGTAATAAGCGAATTAAAACTTTCAATAGATTGGAATAATGTTTTTTTTTGTTTTATTTTATTGCATTTTGACTACATACGTTGTTTTTTGAACATGTTTTATAAAGTAGAACCAACATTATTAAGAGTATAACAGTTTCCGCTACCTACATTTCATCGTTTTCAAGTGTTCTCTTTAGCCTTAAGAGATAAAATAGTTATAATTTAGAAAGGTATTATTTTAACAATGACAAATTTTTCTTAGCGAAATAATATTTCCAACTTTAATTTTTTTAAAGACATAAATCTATTTGATTACTCGTTTTGTCGATTATCAGATTTTTCGATTTAATTATAATCAATAATCAAAATGGTTTTTGGTTTTTATTAATCAACAATATAACGTCAAAAACTACTTGAAAAAACTATCAAAAAGCTGACTGCAAATATACTAAGTCTTCTGTCTATAATCTAATTCAAGTTTAGTTATGGGAAAACAAAATTGGATTCGTAATTATAATAAATACTTTGAATAGCTTACGGTTTATGAATTTATATTTTAAATATATATATTATTTTAACATCTGAAGATTTTCGTTATTTCAAATATATTAAAATTGGTTTATTAGTATTATCTACTTTGTTTGAAAGCATTATCCCATTTTCAATATAGTTATGAAACAATATTGCAAATAAATTTTTTACTTCATTTTAATGAAACGGCAACACAAGTTAGATTTCATTTTCAGCATAGTACTCATGAAAACAAAAATTAATCAGAGAGGGAGAGCGAGTGAGAAAGATAACACAGAAATATGTTAAGTTAAGAGCGAAATTTTCGCGCAAAAGAAAATAAAACAAAAAAAAATTTTTTTGAGTTTCCTGAAATAGCAATAATCAAAACCGAATGCCGACCTAAGTAAAATCAAATTTTCAAAAACTCCTTTTGATTTTTTTAAATCTTTTCTACGTATAACAGTTACTTTTCAGCTATGAACGTTAAATTGCTGACAAAAACTTTTTTTCCCTTTTTCAGTACAAGTATAATAAAAACATTTTTTCCCTCACAATTTTTTTTTGTATTTTTTACTTTTTTTTGGAAAGTTATACCATATTATAGAAAGTAAAAATAATTATACAAACGAGAGAAAAAATGAAACAAATAAAAATAGAAAGAATAAATGAAAAAGTCTAGAAAAAAAGTGGAAAACACAAAGAACAAAATGAATTTTTTCTTATGAAAATTATACTATGGAATTGAATTCGTATGGAAAATACTGAGATTTTGGAGCCAGTCTCCCATCGTCAATCGATTGTGACGCCACGATGTCTTCGTGTTAAACGGGCTTATATTTAATAGCATATTATTATTATTATTATTAAAGAAGAAAAATTTTCTAATTTTGCGTTTTTCAGAATCAAATGATAAAAATAAAATACCAAATTATAAAATTTAAAAATGGAAAAATCGTATAATTACGTTAGTAGTTGTCAAAACCTTAAGAATTTAATGAAAATTACAAAACTATTTGATTAATTTTAATAAATATTTTTATTTGTATTGAGTTACAGAATTAAAAAAAATAGAAAAATTAAAGAAAAAGTAATAAAAGTTATTGATGAAAATTTCTTCTTAATTGATGTCAATCATCAATAAATGTATTACAATTTTGGTTTTTGTGGATATCTTCAAATAATTCAAAAATTGTTACCATTTAAAATTGGAGGTGGAAGTTTGAAATATTGAAACAATAGAAAAAAAATCAAATTTTTTTGTGTTCTAGTTTTTTTTTGTACGTATGTATCAATTGGCACTTTATTTAATTGGCGAAATTTTATATTCGAAATAAATTAAATATAAAGTGAAAAAAAATAATAATAAAAAATTCATCCGTTTTTGTCGAATGTGCAAAAAAACTCTAAAAATTAAAAGTATTGTGTTAAATCATTAATTGTTGCACATAATACTTGTATATACGTATGTGTCGACATATACATAGAGAAAAAAAGAAAAGAAAACTACTATTTGCATAATTATATTTAAAATTTTATAAAATACACTGAGAAAAATATTGATTTGTTGTCAATAAAGGTAAATCACTTTGTCCGTTTATAATGTTCAACTTTTGTATTTGCAAAATAAATTAAGTATAATATATTTAATTTTTTTACGTTATTTTTGTTTTTCGCTATCTCAACTCATACCCCAGCACCATTATATTCAGTCCATCAAAAAATCACTGACTATAATTAAATTAGTTGTTTCAAATATATTATGTAATACACCGTTTGAAAATGTGTAAAAAAATTAAATGTAAACAATCATATTATGTAAACTGCCATATACAAAGTTTTTAAGATCCAAATTTCAATTTTTTTGTAGATTTCAAACCAAAATATTAATAGATTTGTATCATGAGTGGTTTACTTCCTGTTTTTGAAATTTCTAGAAGAAATTGTTTGTTTATTATTATTATAAAATATTTAACATGAAGTAGAAGGTACGGCTATGCATATACGGTGAGATCAGAATATGTTTTTGGTTTCGATAGATTGCCCAAAGAATTTGGAGACTATATTTAATTGAAAATATCTATATTTCATTGAAAATTGAATTGAAGACTATATTTAATTGCAAACTTGAAGGACATATGAATTTAGAAAGTGTAAAAATTATTGAATAGAGAATTGTTAATTCTTCTTTTAGCTCACTCCATTTTTTGATTTTAATTTATACCCCTTGAGTGGAAATGACGAACTGGCTTCGCCCCCAGTATATTTTAATGTTTAAAATCATACGAATTTCTTTAAACTTGTAAAAATAAAAATATTATTATTGTTGCACATGGTATTTTTTATATTCTAGCTAAATTGACCTTAATATAGATAACGGTTTTAAGATTTTTTTTTAATAAACCATTAGTTTATCTAACTGAAATATTTTACGAGTTTACTTCAGTTCGCTATAGCTACTTGTTAATTACGCTATAGCTAATTGTTCGGAAAAGAAGTTTTAACATTTTATTAAATCCAATTCGTGTAAAATAAACCTAAAAATGTCTGAAATGATTGAAAATTTATTATACGAAAGCGATAATTCTAACTGTGAAATATATGAGGAAGACACATTAGAACAATTGGAATGTGAAAGTGCTAATTCATGGGAAACTGTGTAGGAATATCAAGAATTTTTTTTGTTTCATCTTAATTTCATTATTACTTAAAGTGTTCATTACTAATAGACCTATTGTATTATAAATGATATAGTTTTTACTTTTATATAAGTAGATTAAATAAAAACAAAAGTACTTAAGTTTTGTTTTATGATAATTCACTCATAGAATTGCGCTAAATTTAATTGTCTGCGCGCGTACTATTCTTCGAAATTTTATAGAAAGGCAAAGGGTTAATAAGCTATATACAGGTTTACCTACCGTTATTATTAGTTTTAAATCAATAAATTTCATTTATAAAATTGCAATTATGCTGAAAAAAAATCATGATTTTTTAATTAGGAATTTTTAATATTTTTACTTACTTTCCATAAAATTGAATTTTCAGTTCATTTCATTTATTAATAATTCATTAACAATATTTATTACATAACTATAATATGTTCGTTTCATCTGTGTTCCATGTTAAATGTCAATAACAGTATAAGTCGGTTTTTAATAAAATGCATATTTCAATTTATATTTTATTCAATTGTTTGCGTTTCATTTTTATTTATTCTTTTTTGATTGTTATTGTTTATTATAATTATATATTATTCAATAATATTATTGTAATTTCAAAATACATTATTGATAGCTTAATGTTTTTATCATAAATATAATTTTTTTTGTATATGTAAATGTAAACCTGCTTATAAATTTATGACAATTATTTGCAATAAAGTAAAAATTGCATGATTTAATAAGAAAAAAAAATCTTTTAACGGTGAATATTATTTCAACACTTGTACATTTACATTTATACCTACAAATTTTACTATACTTTATAGATATATGCATATCTGCATTTATTGTACACGACTATTATATTGATCTTTTTTATATATATGAAAAACGCGATATAACACTTTATATTTGTGTACACTTATTGTTTTAATTGTACATATACATACATAACTTTATTTTTCCAAAATTTACAACTTATTACAAAAATCTTCACCTGTATTTTATAGAGCATACAATTTATATTTGTAACAGATAAATATATTTTTAACTTTTAGTTCTTTGAAGTACAACAAAATTACATTTTTAACATTTTTATGACATGTAAAGTAAAATTCTTAAAAAAAAACGAAGAAAATTTCATTCTAGGTGGTCTAAATTTAAGTACATTATTATATACGCACATAATATCGTATATTATATTCATACTTGTTAATGTATTTTTATAATATTATATTATGCATAAAAGTTTAAAATATTTTTTTACAGAATTTTCAATTGCAAAAAAGAAATCCAAAATAAGTACATTCCTCCGCACTATCTTTATAGTTAATTTAATTGCATTTACGGAAATTGTATTAAAAAAAAATAAATATAACAAACAAGTAAAAAAATTCGAAATATTAAATAAACATAATCCACATTTTTTGAAGATTTAATTGCATAATTCATAATTTAAAGGCCATAATTTCACATATAAAAAATTGTACAAAGAAGCTTATCAAAAATAAAATACTAATGAATTAAACTAAAATCCAATACATAAACTTATTTAAAATTTATAATTAAAAAAAGAAAAAAGAAATTGAATTTAAAATAAATTTTAATGGAAATTTTGTGAAAATGCGGTAATTGTGTTTACTAAATTGAATTAAAAAAAAAAAAAAGAATTTGTTAACTTATAGAGGAGTGTTTGTATAAAATCACATAAAATTTCACTTAATTATTGGAGTATTTATTACATAATAATTATAAAAGAAAAAAAATTCAAATAAATATAGCTTTATACTGTGTGTGTTCAAAGAAAATAGATGAATAAAAGATTTAAATATAATAATATAAAATAATTTTACAGGATATTTCAAAGGATTATAAAAAAAGCACAAAAATTTGTTAATGATAATAAAAGGTATGTTTTTTATTAAGGTTTAAAATAAATTTAAAATAAATTCAATTCAATTTTAAAATTAAAATTTTACAGTTATTTCTTTAAATTGAAATACAACATTTTTCTTTGTTTCCTTATCATGTGTCTGTCACGTACGTAGGTTATGGTTATCATGTATGAATATCATATGGATAAATCTACCATAAACGTGTAGAAAACTTATTGAATTTTTAATAAGAATTAAGATTTATTTCAAATTTTAGGGGTAAATGGAAATCGTCTGAATTTAGGCGTAAATGGAAATCGAAAATCTACATTTCCGTTTAGCATATCATCAGACATAACCATAAAAAACAATAAACATCTCAAAATGTATGATCTTCAAAACACAAATTTTATATATAGCTTGCATTTTTCGCATTCAATAATTTGTTTTATGTTTATTTTAACTAAGAAGTTAACACAAAAACATGTTGAAAATAAATACGTACGTAAAAACTGTACCTGTTCTAGTGCCTGTATTAATATACTTCTAAACGGTAAAAATACTTCTAAAATAGTTGCATATGTTTGTGCTAACTTCATATTCTGTAATTTCTAAAAGTTGGATAAATCTTGTTCGACATATTTTTGAAATGTTACCAAAAATTAACAGATCGATTTGCAATAAGTATCGATCTTCTATGTCAGACCTTTACTACATTCCAATTTTACATTTTTGTGCATATACCGAGGAATCATCAACTAATTTTCTTGGAATTTAATTTTTAAATTCTAATGAAATAAAATAATAATGAATTTATAAATTTTTTTTTGAAAAATCACGTCTTGGACCCCAAATTTCCAGGGTGTCTGTGAAATAATTGACGGCATTTCTATAAATTCAACGTCTAAAGTTCTTTTTGCTACCTGAACGAACTGACGAAAGTTTCAGAGAATTCGAATTGCACAAAGTGAACTGATACTAAGAGCTAAATTTTGGTTTTTCTAGGTTTCTTAGTTAAAAGCTCACTAGTGTCCTTAAAATTTGGAAGAAGCATGTAAAGGACATTTTCATAATTTTGTGTAAAACTTTTGTTAAAACTTTTTGGTTCAAATCTCTTCCACTATTCCGTAATGAAAAAATATTATGCTTTTCGTTAAAAAGAGAAAATGCCATATTAACATTTTCTATTTCAAAACGTGTGTTAGAACTTTATGTATGTAAATTTTTACTCCGAAAAATTTTATTAAGTTAACAGATAAAAATATTGTAATTGAAGAGTAATAACCAGAAATTTTTTTTTGGTTATCTCATAAAAACTTTTTTTTTATTAACGTATCTAAGTACATCGTCAAGGAAATTGTCTCAGAAATTTGTTTTTAAACGACGGTAAGTTTAAGAAAAATATTTTTATTTTCAATTTGACCGATTATGCCAAAATCTAACAACTTTCTAGAATCTATAATCAAAACTAAAATTTCTGGCAACTATTGTCAAAATCTAGAATTTTTGGCAACTATTGTAATATTTATATACACTGATATAAGGCATACATTAGGCATTAAAAAATTCCTGAAAAGTTTTTTAAAAATTTGTACTTGCGCTTTAAAATTCAAAATTGCATTTGAAATACTTAGACTAAATTAGGATAAAATTCTATTTGAATAAAGTTGGGTCAAACCAATGGTTTGTATTATAGCAATTTTCCCTTCAACAAGTGAAAATTCTGCTTTCAAATACATTCTATGTATACCTGTCACACAACTAAAATTATTTTCATTCATATACACAACTATCTCTAGGATTGCATATATTTGGGATGAACGATTTATGCAGTCTTTGAAATAAAATAAAAATAAATTTTAGTAAGGGTTCACATAATGCTCGATTTTAAGAGTTAATTGAGTTAGTTAAGAAAAATAATTATATTTTTTAATGTCATGGAGTTTATCGTTAGCTTTTTGCGTTTACAGAAATTTATATAAGGCGTCAAAAATTCAATTTTAAATTTTTTTCTAACGAAATAAACTATTTATTAGTGTCTAAAAGCTGCTAAAATTTCAGGCTTCTGCAGTCTGGGGTCTAGAAGAGAAACGACATCAAAAATTTGAAAAAACGGCCATTTTTTTTAAAGTTTACCTATAGCGTGACCCAATAGGAGAAGCAAGCCACTGCCCTTCTGCGTTTGCAAAATGCTTATGGTTTCATTACAACAAATGGGTAAAAAATTTCATATTTAGGCTTTTAAGGGGGTATAATTCTAGAGTGGGGGAGATAGATAAAAATTTTGTTCTACTGAAATAATTTTCTAGTAAAGATCTACGTATATATTAAATTTCAGCTTTCTATCTTCAAGGGTGTAGAAGTTTTGAAAACATGTCAACGGACGGACGGACGCACGGACAGAGTGGAACTATTAAGCACTTTTTTTCAAAAATTTTTTGGAAAAGTGCTAAAAAAGAAGAAACAACGTATATATCGGCATTTAAAGATGTTTGTGTAGGTGGAATGAAAAACAAATCGTTTTATATATAGAATTGTATATATATATTGTATATTACTGTTACGTTTTTATAAATCCAATTTAAATGAATTGAAAAAGGATAGTTAGTATTTTCCCACAGTGCGATATATCCGATGATAAAAGTAGGAAAATCCATAAAATTGTGATATAAACTTTAAATTTATTTTTTGTAGTATGTCACATGATGTGGGTAGACAATGCAAACTTTTTCTTATAAAATAAAATTTTGCATTAACTTTTTGGAAAAAAAATTTGCATATAAATGCCCACGTTTTACTCTGTCAACTATGTTCGATAATTACGTGGACGTTGATAGTATAATACAAAAAAATAGAAATTAATTTTGAGATTCCGAACCAAAACGTTTTAATGCATTAAAAGCTTAGTGTTTTTCTGAAAGTTTTCGTTATATATTCCTTGCAAATAGAATTTAGTTCTAACATATTTTCTTTGGTAAAATTTAGCACTTTTTCATCAATTTTTAAACAAAATATGCTTATTGCTTTAATTCTGACCATAAATTCTACATCTTACTAATTTGTGGAGTTTGTGTAGTAATTACTTTTAGAGTGAGGGTGCATAGAGCTAGAAGTTTGGCTCTACATGAAATTGGATCAATTTTGGACAACCCGAGTCAAATAGTAGCAACATATTTTACATGAAAATTTCTATAAAAGAACAATACAACGGTCGGTGATGTTTTTTTGCTAAAAATGTTTTTTAAAAATTTTGTTATATGAACGCAATAATAAACATAAGCAAAAGTAGTTAAATTGTAATAAATAATTCGTTTTCATATTTGAAATTCTAAAAGGATTTCTACGTCGATTTGTCTACATGGGATGAGAGCAATGGTAATGATGGTCATATTGAAAATAAAATATCTTATTGTGAATAAAAAATTGTATTTTAATGATGAATAATGTCGATTAGTGCCTTTTTGAAGGAGTTTTTATGAAATTTTTATTTTGAAAAGTTGGGCAACATTTTTGTGTTTTAAAAAAAAAATTTAGCAAGGCGAAAGGCTGTGCTTTGTGTAACAATAGAACCGAAAAAAATGTTGTGGTCGCATTTGTAAAAGTGGATTCAAATATTTTGCTCAAGTCGTTCTCCAGTTTTAAAATTGACGAGATCAGATAAAGGTGTGAAATAACAAAATTTAGAAATTAATATGCAGAGCTTAAAAGTGACAACCACGAAAAAATTTTTAATTATTGGTAAAAATTGTTGCTTATATACTTAAATATAAGCTTTTTAAAATATTAGAGCTGTTTTATATTTCTTTGAAAATTGCTTAAGTTAATTTTTTCCATATTTTGAAATATTTGAGAAAAAAAGAAGAAATATTGAGGAGATGTTGTAAAAGTAACCATCGTAACAAAAAGTAAAAAAGTTACCTAAAAATAAAAAATCTTGAATTTCCTTTTCAGGTCCAATCGAAATATCGCTGATCTGCTCATCCACATATCAAATTCAGTTGACCGGAAATTTTACATGTTTTTAATGTCAATGAATTATTCATATTTTTCATAAACAAAATTGAAATGTTTTATGGTAACCTTGATAACAAGGTTTATTCCACACTTACATATATCTTCCACATTTTCAGTCTATAAATAACTCACATGAAAAATAATCAGTAAATTTTCTCAACTATTGCAAAAACTTAATATTTCAACATTTTTATCCAATATTTTAATATTCCAACGTAAGAAATTAATTTGAATTCAAGTACTTTACTACAACTTTACTATTTTAAAATATCTACATTTCTACATTTTTTATGCATTTATTAAAATTAATTTAATTAAAATTTAGTACTTAAATAATACAAACGATTCTAACATTAACTTATATCTATAATTAGTTATGCAAACTGCTTCATATATTTTCATAAAAGTTTTAAATACAAATAAAGTATCTTGAAGTAGTGGAAATCGATAATAGAAATTTATTTGAATTTACCTTAATATTTAGTTGTATAAACTTTCCATATTTATCTGGTATGCACATCACATATTTATATATATAAATATATAAATTTATTTACTACAACTGCATTAGCAACAAAATACTACTAAAATATAAAGATATTCCCATACTTCTTACGTTCATAGAATTATATTAAAGAAATAGTGTTTAATCACGTGCAATATCTTACAAATTTTTATGCTTTTAAGCTATTGACTTACAAATTTCTGCTTTATAAGACAAAAAGCTATTGTATCTGTACATTCTTTATTGATTTACCTTAACATTTACGCAAATAGTTTTCGAATTTTCTTAAGGATATTTCTTGCTATGTTTATAACCACATTCTTGATAAATTTAAGAAATTTGAGTGCTATGATTAAGTCATTGAAATAATGTTACGAGTATATAATATTTTACAAGTATAAAGAGTTATTTCGATTATTTTAACTTTTCTTACCAAAAACAATTATAATTTGAAAATAAAGTAGAGTTGGAACCCATGGTTTGTAAAGTAGCACTTTTCGGTTAAACAAATGGAAA